AAAGCGCATAATCATATTTCAGGATAGCGACAAATTTGACCACCATGTGCCACGGAAAAGGCACCATACGCATCGACGATGCGCGCAAAAAACCGACGAAAGCTCATCAAAGTTTTAGGACAAATTTGCTTGAAGCATCAATTGAAAGCTTGAATATTGCGATACGATTTATCATCATATAATCGTCATATGTACTGTAAATACTTTAGTTTGTGCTTCTTTGTATGGTTCTTCAGCTATGCAACTCGAGACTTTGAAAGTTGTTTTTTTTCAGCAGTGCTGCACTGCTTAATAAATAGCAACGCGCACCAGACTAGCTGGTACGATCATGCATTTTGTGCAATTCAGCCCACCGAACGATTGCCCATTAATGATTTTCACTGCTTTGTACTTTAGTTTATGCAAAAATAGTTCAAAAATTGGAAAACAGTTAAAAATTTCACGCACCAGCGCATGAAAGCTGAATTCGAAACCTTGAAGGATGTGTGATTCCCGAGATAATAGTTTACCCGCCAAAATTTTCACGAGGCCTTAGGTGGTACCCGAGAGCGCGAGAACGCTGGATTTGAATGGGCAAGGTTGAGCGTGGGCAGGGGGTCATCATCCTAAAATTTTAGCCTCCTAGACTCAGTGGTTTCCGAGATATTAACTCACCCGTGAAAAACTTTCACGGGGCAGTACGTGTTACCAGCGGGAACGGGGAAGCTGAAATTTAAATTTGCAGAGTCACACGTGAGTAGGGAACACTCCCCTAAATTTTCAGCTTCCTAGCTTTTGTGGTTCCCGAGTTGAAAGTTGCGGACAAGTTGCTGCCCCCTTAAATTTTCAGCTTCCTAGCTTTTGTGGTTCCCGAGTTGAAAGTTGCGGACAAGTTGCTGCGTTAAATTTTCAGCTTCATAGCTTTTGTGGTTCCCGAGTTGAAAGTTGCGGACAAGTTGCTGCGGAACACAAACAACCCCGTGACAATATGCGTTTTGTGCTGCTGTCACACAGCACAAAACGCATAATGGTCAGCCCATCGGCAATCCTGGTATTAGTACCGTCCCCCTAATGGGATTCCTAGCATTTTTTCGAAATACAAACTGAAATGAACGTGGCGACACCTGTACTACGTCACGTTTTATTCCATTGTTTGTCTGTTGTCTAGCGCCAAATTTAAATTACCGCATTTAATTTTTCACAAGTGCAAAATGGTAAGATGTTAGGGATAAATCGGCACAATATTTTGACTTCAAATAACCTTAGAACGGTCTCACTTTCTTAGAACAGCTGGTCTGATACAAAACAGCATCGAAGCTTCTATCGCATGTGAATTCGGCTGATGCAATACCGCACGACTGGTCCTAAAATTCGTTGTATTTTGATCGTCTTCACAAAATATACACCAACTTTTTATAACCTGTCTTTCTTGTGTCTTCACACATTCACCAAGCAGTATGCTTGGCTTCTTTTGGCTGAACAGCTCTCAAATTTGGAAAATTAAACCGAAGTATGAAATAAGGTCTTCACAGAAAGAAGCCTTACGTTTTAATACATGTCAAGATAAACTTCTGGACGGAGATTATTCGCAATTCCATAAATTAATTTCTGTCCGGCCCTGGTAGTAGCTGTCTTCAGTTGCGAAGAAATCAAGAGGTGAAAACTCTTTGCAGGGCCTACTTTACAAGAAACGTGAAAATGCACACAGATGCCCAATAGCGCTCTGCCAACAACAACAACCACAGGTTGGTAAAGTTGCCCGAAGTCCCCAACTCCAAAAATACTTAAAGATAGCTTGATTTTCTAAGAAACAAAGCACGCCAGGACCCATTTTGTTATCAGACAAATAAAAGGGGATTGGTTTTCAAGGCAGTGGGAGCCCAATTTTTATGTTACAACCCCCGGAAGTCTTTCATCTTCTGATACGGCAGGCTTACTTCGCTGATTGGTACAGAAGGGGTGCTCTGCCCTAAAACCAGAGATTAAGCCTATTGTGCGAAAACAAAGTTCGATCTCCCAATATATTCACAGTACCCCTTGGCTATCCGATTGCCGCAAAAAAAGAATTTGGGGGAGCGGGATTATGTTCATTTATGACGTTTATGTTCATTTTATGATGTTCGCTGTACTAAATCGTGCAAATTACATTTTGGGTTTTCGTATTTTGCGCATAGCTGAGCGTCAGTTTAATGCGTTATGCAACTTTAGCTTAATAAAAATTTAACATAGCAAAATACGGCACAATGTATTGCGGGCAATACCGGATGCCGGAGTTGCCAAAATTTTGAAGAATTTTGAAGATTTGAAGATTTGTAAATTTTGACGATTTCTAAGATTTGTACCTGTTTTGCCTCTTAGAAAATCAAGCTGTCTTTAAGTATTTTTGGAGTTGGGGACTTCGGGTAACTTTACCAACCTGTGGTTGTTGTTGACAGAGCACTATTAGGCATCTGTGTGCATTTTCACGTTTCTTGTAAACTAGACCCTGTAAGAGTTTTCACCTTTTGATTTCTTCGCATCTGAAGACAGCTACGACCAGGGCCGGACAGAAATTAATTTGTGGAATTGTGAATGACCTCCGTCCAGAAGTTTTTCTTGACATGTATTAAAAAGTAGGGTTTCTTTCTGTGAAGACCTACACCACGAACAAAACTCAGGTTGAAATTATGCAGAAGCCTAGACAAATATATTTAAGCGAAGCAAAAAAAAAAAAAAGATTTCTCCTGTTGCAAGCCCAAATGCTGGCATCATCTCGATTAGTTGTAAAATATTCGCTCAAGCCAAGAATCTCGGCTATTTCATAGCGTACATCGTCAACATATATTTTGCGCTTCAAAGGACAAACATTACTGCAATACTATGAAAATATGTAACAGATCTCTAGCATTTTCAACTAATATCATACAAATCCAGTGGTGCAGCCGTTGCCCAATTTCAGGAATCATCATTCAAATTTAAGGAAATTTTTTTGCGCCCTAATACAATAAACCATAAAAACTATTTTTTCGCAGAATTTCCGTGAAAATAGTTAAATTATATAAATTTTTATTTGCACCAGCAACGAAGAAGCAAATGCCGATAGTGTAGTGGTCGAGTACAGCATAATAAATGAAATTGCATGTAATGAAAA